CTTTTGCTGATTATACTTCTGTTCTTTTGCTTATGTCATATTTTGAATGCAGGACTAGTATTTTGCAAATAACATATTTCTCAGTTACTTTTTACGTTTTTTTTCATCTCAGGTCATTTTCAACCTGTACTTGAAACTGCATCCTGCTTACCTGTACATTTCCTTCTACCAAGTTCATACTTTATGCCGGGGCGGGTCAGCTTGCACTTGAAGTCGTCCTCCCAGAACTCTGCAAACCAGATGTTTCTTCGGTTGTTTTCTAGCGATCTTGAAGTGAAGTACTGGTCGAACCCTGAAAGATTTCACAAAGCAGATTTAATATCATGTCAATTCAATCTTAGAACCTAAATCTATTCAGCCAGGCTTTCGGTAAAGAGTGGTACCAAGAAGTCAGTCAAGTCGCTTCAGCTGATTCAAAATGCTGCAGCTCGTGTACTAACCAGAGTTAGGAAAAGGGACCACATTACTCCTGTTCTGGCTGCCTTACACTGGCTCCCTATAGAACACAGGATAGAATTTAAAATTCTATCCTGTGTTCAACGCCAACAAAGCCCTTAATGGGCAGGCGCCATCTTACCTCAAAGAACTCATTATACCCTACTGTCCTACTAGGGCATTGCATTCCAAGAATGCAGGGTTGTTGGTTGTTCCTAGAGTCTCTAAAAGTACAATGGGAGCCAGAGCCTTTTCTTATCAAGCTCCACTTTTGTGGAATCAGCTTCCAGTTTGTGTTCGGGCGGCAGACACCCTATCCGTTTTTAAGAGTGTGCTTAAGACCTTCCTTTTTGATAAAGCTTATAGTTAGGGCTGATTAGATTCAGCCCCTAGTTTTGCTGATATAGGCTTAGTTTGTCGGGGGACATCTTACTTCTTCCTTCTCTCTGTCTATACCTGTGTACTCTCATGTTCCGATTAACCCAGCTTCCCCAAATTTCTTTCTTTTTGGTGTCTATATACGCCGGGATCCGGAGTCATGGATAATCCTGCGGTCCTGTGTCATGGATCGCGAGTCCTGGATCTTGAGTCATGGCTGTGGTCCTGGATCATAAGTCCTGGATGGATATACTCATGGATTCATCTTCTTATTATACACACATGTATTTCCAAACATTTGAACTACCTATGTTGCAAATGTATTATCTTTTCAATTTACACACGGCATCTATTGCACGTCTGTCCGTCCTGGGAGAGGGATCCCTCCTCTGTTGCTCTCCCTGAGGTTTCTCCCATGTTCCCCTTTAAACTGTGGGTTTTCTCTGGGAGTTTTTCCTTGTACGATGTGAGGGTCTAAGGACAGAGGGTGTCGTATTGTCATACTGATATTCTGTACAAACTGTGAAGTCCACTGAGACAAATGTAACATTTGTGATATTGGGCTATATAAATAAACATTGATTGATTGATTGATTGATTGATTGATTGATTGATTGATTGATTGATTGATTGATGGTTAAAACAATAGGTGTCATTATTGTACTTTCACTTACCTTTTGTATTTAAGTTGTGGTATCGTGTTATTGTTATTTTTTAAACTTGTTTGCTAGTCGTACTCATATAATAACTTTTGAATCAGTTTTACTAGGTTTTTATAATTGTTATTATCTCACATGCATTGGTCTCAAGTCGTTGAAATGTTTTTATCTTTTCTATAGTTTCTCAACTACAATTTGAACTACACTAACCTGTAAGAAATTGCTATTCAAATAAAGATTGATTGAAACCGCAGCGCTAAGATTAATATCAGTATACCGATCATCATAATGTGATGAAATCAGCGAAGCAAATCAAATCTTTTTGAACAGTGAAATATGGCTGTGACTGAATTTCCTTATTTTAAGCTACAGGGACCACAGACATATCCAACATCATTAATTTCCTTTATATGTAGCATTGGTATGAGACTCATCCATCAATGTCAAGTGACGCAGGCTATTTCTAATATTCCTGTTACATCCAGTTGGTTTTCCCTACCATCGATAGAGGCTCTCTTTGGCAGGATGGTCACAGCGCCCTCGGCCACATCCTCCTGGTCCTGGATCGGGGAACTTTTGGCTCCCCAACTGTCGGAGCCAACAAACAGGAAGTGGCCCGTCAGGTTGGCCGATTTGGCCGTCTGCAGCACCCGTCTGAAAGAGAATGAATAACACTTCATCATACATGTTTTTCTTTATGCTCTGTGTTTTACAACTAAACAGGTAGGAGAAGTACTCGGACCTTGTACTTAAGTAGAAGTACCAGAATGTAAAAATACTCTGTACCAAGTAAAAGTCCTGCGATCAAAATGCGAGTCTAGTAAAAGTACAACATTTTATACTATTATATTTACACATGTTTGTCTTTTTGCTCTGTGTTTAACAACCAGCTGTTGGAAAGCACATTTACTGAAGTACACATTTGAGGTACTTGTACTCTAACTGAATACTTTCATTGTACACTACTCTATACTCTACTACAGGGATCACCAACTACATTTGTCCAAGGGCCAAGATTATTCCTAGAGACACTTTCGGCGGCCAGCAATTTTTATATATAGCCCTGAATTTGGAAGTTGTTGACGGGCCGACGGGGTTGTTGACGGGCCGACGGGGTGTTGTGCTAGTGGAGCACGCTCATGTGCTGTCAAGTCGCCGGAGCTTCGTAGCGGAGGCTACTGCGGAGCGCATAAAGCAGACTCTTCAGGCTAACGAAGGATCACTTCTTCTTCAGGGCAGAGAAGGCTACGCAGTATGCAGGCTACTGTCCCGCAGCTGCTGCCTCTCTGTTGGACTCCGGTACTGCACATTACTCACGAGACGTTGTAACCACTCCGCCACTCGCGTGCTGGATGAGAATGTCTGGCGTGCCAGATTTGGCCCGCGGGCCGCCAGTTGATGGTCACTGCTCTACTACATTTCGGGAGCCAATTTTGCACTCTTTACTCCACTTCATTTATTTTACATATTGAATGACGAGTTACTTTATAAATTCAGATTTTAAACACAAAACATAAATTACGTACTTTAACTCCTATTCTCGATGCAGAACTTTTACTGGAAATGTTGTATTTTTACAGTGTGGTTTTATGACAAAAATTAAATAAATATGACGTGCAGCAGAGCTTGACTCACTTGATGTCGTCCTCGCTGGCGAAGATGATGACCCCGCGAGCGTTGGAGGTCTCCATCAGTCTCTTGATGATCTTCTCGAACTCCCCCGGTCTGGGCTCTCTGGGAATCTTTATGGACTGTGCAATACAGATCCCCCCTGTGGGAGAGAGATGGGAAATACGTTGGCATTGCTACACTTCTCTGTTTCCTCCATTTACTGCACAAGAAAATAATTACAGCCTAATACGCCTGGTTATTATCAGTAACCTTGAAAAATAGACCTACATTTAATATTACAAAAAGGATGATACAGCATCTGGAGATGAATTTTGTTATTCATGTTAACCTCTCCATCAGCCTTATTAGCAATTGTAAGCATGCTACCACAGTAAACTCAAAGTTAACTAGGTAAACCTCATATCAGAGGCGGTTTAGGGATAAAGCTTCTTGATTGAAAAGTAGTCGAATACTTTGTGTGCATGTTGGCCTGCTGCAGTAGCCTTTAGCTTAAAGACATAGCCTCAAAGGGCTGTTAGCATGATTGTAGACTCTTAGTATGAAAGCTTTTATATGAAGAGCATTTGACTTGAGTATTACAAATAGGAAACCGCCTAAACTATAAGGCCAATCGAAGAGTTAAGACCTCCTTTGAGGCCATGACCTTACTTTGTGTATCCTTCCCATGACTTATTCCAAAGTTGAATGGGTTTGTCATTGGTTTATATATGCTACACCATGCTGACAAACAACGATGTCTACTGGTAGTATATTATCAACATTGAGTTACAACATAAACCAATGTCTGTACCATATTGAATAAGGCATTTTACTCAGAAACAACAAATGTAAACCCCATGGTGGCACTAGGAGAAAGGTAAGGTGATCTCTAGAGTCATTTACATTTATCCTCTGGGGACCATGAATATCAGTAGAAGCAAAACGGAAGGTAATCCATCCATTCGTGTTTGAGATATTTGACTCTGAACCAGATTGGTGGACTGATCTCGGTCAACATGCTCACAAAGTGATGACCTGTCCAGCATTGTCAATTATTGATGTGCAGTATGTCCTTAAATGAGATGTGAAATCCGATCCCTCATTTGAGCTTTTAAACCCATATGAGGCGGTGACTTCTCTTTGCCCTGGTAGCTGTTGTGTATTAAAGGATTTTTGTTTCCTATTATAGTCTTTTAATGAGTGAGAACAGCGCGGCTTGATGAATCATTAATCCCTCATTGTCCCAGCAGTGGATTCAAGTTCATAGAGGCAGACCTGCTTCTCTGGATATTTGGAGGAAGGCGTCGACGCCGCTCTCTCCGTAGTTTCCCTCCGAGGCCAGCGTGGAGACGTAGTTCCAGCCCATGGCTTTCACTATGTCCAACATGGCCTGGGCCTGGTAGGAGTCCGGAGGCACCACACGGGAGAAGAACTCGTAGCGGCTTTTGTCGCTCAGCTCGGGGGCCGTGGAGGCGTAGCTGATCTGGGGAATCTGAGACACACGAGAGGGTCAGTGATGACGAAAGAGCTCGGTCAACGGGAAAGCATGAGCAGCACAATTAGGCCAATATGTGGAACCAAAGATAAAAAGGGATGACTAGAAGAAGCAGTGAACCGTATCAGGGGATGATGCACCACTTACCTTCACAGTGTCTAAATGCAGACTTTCTCTATTAGAACTAATGAGTTGCAGTGCATTAAAACCCCAAAATGTGACTTTCATAGAGAGCGCTTTGCTTGAAAAGCTTGTGTAAATCTCAGAACTGAAGCTTCCGATCTGGTGGATCATGTGCTGAGCTGAGCATTCAACGTCATAGTGAATACAGATGGTGGGACCCACAGCTGTAAAAGCATTTGTTCGGAGAAAAAAAGGATGAGAAGATTAATTTACTGGTGTGCTACTTCTTTAATGACACAGTTTATGTCGACAGTCTCCACCCCGACCCCGCTAATGCCGGTCCTCCCAGCGTGGCTTAACGTAGCGGGCACTCCGGATGGGGTGAGGAGAGAAAGGTAGACACAAGGGGTAGTGAAGGGAGAAGGAGAGAGGAGCGAGAGAACCATTTCACAGATTATCTGGAAGGATTATAGGGGTTTTAGTCAAATTACGTTAAGCACAGAGGGAGAGACAGAGATCAAGAGAGTAGGAAAAGGTTAGCATTTCTCAGCTGTAAGCCATACAATATATTTAATTCTGATGGCCACACGTGTTAACCCTGCCCAGTTGAATCTTACTGGTCATCCTCCACTTCGCTGACCATGACTTCATGAAGCTTTACAGAACAAAAAAAACATTCTGTCATCACGACTTCAACCTTTACAGTTCTTTAAGTGTCCGGAGGATATTTCCTTGCGCACACATTAGCCATGAACAAGAGGAAACGTAATCCCCTCCAAATTAATCCCGTAGAAGCATCTGCACCAATTCACTTTCTAAAATCAATGAGCCGTATCGGTTACACAGGGATGCATCTACAATGAAGTGCTGCTGAAATCTTCCTCACTATCAGAGAAGGATGGGAACCGTCCAAGATATTCCAGGATCCCAGCCAAGGAAATATGAAGGTGGTTTAGCACTTAATGGTTTGTATTTAACAGAAGCGAGTGCTGGTACTAGATAAAGATGTTATGACAGGTATGCATTTTTAATGTGTCAAAGGTTTAGGGAAATTGTTTTCAATCAATGGTTTTCTTTCTCAATTTGTAGCAGACGCTTTCAGAAAATGATTTTAACTGCACTGCTCCTGTACTGACTGATGATTCAGTCTAAGGCTCACATTTTTCACATCGCAATGTCAACTAAGTGCACTGCCAAGGACTGCGGTTTAGCATTGAAATCACTTTTTTTAATTGGTGCCCTTTGTGTTCAGTTCAATGCTCAAAAAAGAATTCTAGAAATTATTTCCTTTCATTTTTTATATAACAAGCAAATAGCTGTATTTTAGTACCTCTGAAAACATCAGTGTGAGAAATGAGTACACTAATATATATATATTTATATATCACAAGTAATGTCTTCATCCTGATCTTAAGAACATATTCAGATATGTTTCTCATTTGGTGAAAGCCTTAATATAAATTAAGTGTTGACATATCAGATCATATTTAATAAATGGCAACATAACAAATCATATTATGTTAGAATATGTTAATATATTTGATAATTGTTTGGTATATACAATTTCTAAAATGTCAAATAGTAATTTGGAAAAAGGATAAAATTGCTAATACCGAATTATTTGAATTGCTTTGGTTGAAAAGTGTTCAAATGTACATTAATGTTAAAGAAGAAAAAGCATACAAATCCTCAAAATTAAACTTCTGGAATAATCATCAAAATTAATAATCAACAATCTGCTTAGCAACTAAAGCATCCCAAATGGTAAAGTGAATTCACTATTGGATAAACAGAGAAACCCGTTATTTAACAAGCTTAACTGTTGATATAAAGTAAACATTATTTTATTGAATATCTGCTTCACATGCTACTGTATACAGTTTTGACTTTTTTCAAATACATGACATGTCACTTGTTAGACACTTCTATCCAAAGCGACTTACATACTCAATACTGTGGACAATCCCCACCGGAGCAATTTGGGGTGAAGCGTCTCAGGGACACAACGACATGCTGCCTCCCAAATACTCACCTTAAACAGCATGTGTGCTTGAGGCTGAAACATGCCCTGCTCTGGATGAGAGCAGATGTTTATTGTGCAGCTCTAATTGAGATTAAGTGTTTAAAAAAAAGATTGATATTTAAATAACTGTTATATTATCTTAATAGATTGTTTAGTACATAAAATGTCAAAAAGTTCAAATATTAGTGAAAATAATAGTGAAAAATGTTATTTCTACATTTTTTAATTGCTTATATTGAAATATATTAAAATGTACAGTGATGCAAAAGAAAGAAAAGCATCAAATCCACAAAATCAAACTGCTGGGATAATCATTAATTATAATAAATAATAAAAAAGAGTGAATTAACTGTTGGATCTACTGTATAGCCGGTTATTTAACAAGCTTAGCAGTTGATAAAAGTACACATTGTATTATTTTACATCTCCTACACATACTGTATAGTTTTTAATCAATAATAATAAACAGCATGTGTAGTAGAGGATGAAGCATGCTCAAACTCTGGCAGTGAGCAGATGTTCAACGTAAAGTGAGCATCAGAAGAATCTGCAGAGCGGAGAGCAGCACATATGGACAGTAGCAGGAAACATACCATTTAGATAAATCTGCGCCCCTGTCCAGGCTACAAGTTGCTGTTATCCGAGAACCAAAGCCATGGCGCTGCCCTGATGCTCTATTTTCAGCCCGGGGTCCTGAGCTGCTGAGAGGGGCTTAGTGGAGGGTGGGATCTATAATTCTGTAGTTAACATCTGCCCTGTATGCAATCATCTCTCAAACCAACACTCTGAAGAAACACCGCAACCAGATACCTGATTGCACTTTCTTTCTTTCTTTCACGTTAACCACATTTGGCCAATTTAAACCCCAACACTAGTTTCTTTTTTCTAGACTTTTGATGTCAACGACAGCACGTCATAAAGTGGGACTTACAGAGATTCAATGTCCCATGATCGCTATAAGCACTGTAATCAATTATCGAAGGTCAATCATCTGTACATGGAGAAAAAAAACTACAATGAACACGCGGATTATCCTGTGGCCACACATGACGAAGGATTTAAAATCCCCTGAAGTGTATAGCGACTCATTCCAATGATTCCTCACTTTACATTGTCTCCCGTGAAGTATGTATTGTATCAGTGAGGGGAATATGTGCAGTATAACCAATCAGAATATCCAAAGAAAATGGTGAGCAGATGATGTTATTAAATGTGAGTCGAACTCGTAATTAGGTTCGTAAAGTCCAAAAGCGAATCCCAATTAAAACTCACCGTGTTCATGCTGCAAAATGAAAATCACATTTAATGATGCCCCCATTCATCATCCAAGTGGATAAAATGATGAAATGAATGAGACTGTGCTCCTGTACATCTTAACTAGATCAGCGATGGGCTAATTGAACAGCACAAGCATGAAGTATTTAGTTCATTAAATAGGATCATCAGCTAGTTGAGAGCCAAAAGCAAAATGTGTGTGTTTGTGAGTTCAGTCTCACGAGAAGGACTCTTTCTGTGAATGATATTAGTGAGATGTTCAAAACTAAATGAACTAAATACAAGCGATGTATTTCTGATAGTTGCTCACTTTTTTGGCACACTCTTTCCTAGTTTAACTCCCAATTGTTTGGCTTGTGACGCATTGAAATCTATTTAGGCCAAGTGTCCTCGTCTGACTCATTGCTTTTCTTTTGAAAACTCAATTTCTTATTTTCTGTCTCTTTTCGTACGAATGCCCAACCACAAAGATTGAGCGTCCTGAGAATGTTGAGGCCCTCGGGTTGGGAACCAGTACTTTAACTCATATCCTTTTATTTTCTCCCTATGAATAGATTAAAAAGAGACGACAATGAGGGATAAAGGCTTTCAGCTGGATTCACCCTTTGAGCTTACATACAGAAAAAAGGCCACCACGTTGAATATTATCTGCCCAATAAATGCCCCCCGTTGGTTATCACGACCATTCTGAAGCTGAACCAGAGCAAACTGCACCGACCTGCACCAACAAGTCATAAATACGTGGTTAATATTGTGATTTAAAAGGCAGTGGTGACAGGTAACTAAGTATATTTAAGTATAGTTATTTTTTTGACATTTTGGTCCACATTGACCAACTACATTACTAAAAATCTCTTACATGTATGAAAACTGGACAAAGTTCTAACTATGATAAAATAATACTTTGAAAATATCCAATATACTTTTGGTTCTTGAAGCAAATTTAGCTGATCATTCTTGCATACTTTATATTTGTATTGAAATGGCTCATTGTGCAGAATGAGTACTTTTACTTTTTGTACTTTAAGTAAACTTTGATGCTGATAAATGTGTACAATACTACTTAATCATAAAAACAAATTAGTTTTCATTTGTAAGTTAAAATTGTACTTGTAATAGAGTATTTTAAAACCATAGTATTTGTACTTTTACTTAAGTAAAGGATCTGAGTACTTCTTCCAACACTGGGTTAAGAAAGCATCCTGGTCCTAATTATTATGTTAATTGATTTAACATAGGGGTTAGGGCTCCCCAAAACCCTAACCCTGACTTCCTCCTTTGCACCCATGAGAATAACTGTGACCACTAAAGGTTGAAGCTTAACTTCTTGTAATCATAACAGTGATCAAGCATTCTGAGCGTACTAGTGACTGTAGCAGCCGCTTCTTACGCATCACTATGGGGCTGATAACACCCATTCAATCAGCTGATACCATTCAAAGGGGATGAAAGAACAGCTGTCTGCTTTTTAATAGAGAAGGGGAGAAAGAAAACTCACCGCAAACAGTCTGAGCACGTTGGCCACCATGATGGACACGGAACTGCCCGACGCCCCGATCACCCCGGCCACCCTCTCCGGTTTGGGGATGATGGGCGGCTCTCCGTTGGAACATCGCACGTCTGAGTTGTCCTTCTGGATGAGGGCCTGGACGAAGGTGAGCGACTGCTCCAGGGCGTAGGTGTCTCTGGAGCAGGTGTCCAGGATCCGGGCCCCCAGAGTGATGTTAGGCAGGAGGTCCGGGTCGCTGTTGATCTGGTCCAAGGCGTACAGCATGGCCTCCAATCTGTGGATCCCCTTCTCTCTCTTGATCTCCCCGCAGGGCACACCGGCAGGGCCCCGAGAGTGCATGGGGAACAGCCCGCCCAATTTGATGTCGCCCTCGATTTTGATGGACCCGGGCTGGTTGCCCTGCTGGGCCCACGAACCCGGGCTGAACCCCACCAGCAGCACCCAGATCAGCTGAAGGCATGTTCGGTACCTGGAAGGTGAGGTGAGCCAGCAGAGCCAATGGGACGAGCGGGCCTCTGATGTCATGATGATGACCGACAGATGGACTGACAGCACCGGGCCACTCCCTCTACCTTTGACACCTGAGGGCAGAAAGACTGATTAGCCTCTCATCAGAATATCAGCTAGTGTTTATTTATTTTTAAACAAGAAATCTACAAATGGTCAAACGACTATTGCAAACGACATTACTAGATACATTCACATTTGTATTTCGTGCCTCTTCCGTGACATGTCTCCATGCTTTAATGTTCAGAAAGGTCTTTATTTTTCTCATACTGCCTATGCTGCAGCACCTCTTTTCACCCTCTGTCTGAAACCAGAGCCCAGTCTGCTCCGATTGGTTATCTGAGCGGCTCTGTTGTGATTGGTCAACCGCTTAGAGATGTCCCCGCCCCTTAGCCTATCCAGACAATGGGTGTTTCTCAATGTCGAGGAAGGCTGCTCCAGAGCCACTATTTCAAGCATACTATACGAGTGCCGCCGAAGGACTGTTCCAATGTCCAGCATACTTGGAATTCTACCGAGGCCGGCGTACTTCGTAGCGGGAAATTTCGAGGCTGCACATGTGTAGACTCCGCGGTCTTAACATTTCCCACAATGCTTTGCGCACGGACCAATTTCCAAATCGCGCTCCAATTAAGGCGGGGCCTCGCATATGACGCACACCTGCACACCCGTTACCCTGTTCCACCATTCTTCGTTTTCAGAGGCTAGGAAGGATTCTTGCCTCGCTTCTGAAGCAAGTGACTCGGAAGACATGTCCTACCAAGGAAGAGTCCTCGACATTGAGAAACACCCAATGTGTGGCCAAAAGAAGCGTGAGTGTTACGTAGAAGTACACAATGGAGTCCAACAGAGGTGTTTCAGGCAGGGGGGAGAGTGTGTGGGAGAGAAGCTGGGATTTTAGCCTTTGCAGACCATTTACATGCACTAACTCAATCAAATTACTTTTGTTTGGGTCCAATTATTGAAGGGTTAGGGTCAATGTGACGTATTTTCTTTTATATGTTATCTCGCTTTTTTGTTGAGGCAAAAAAAAGATTGTTACTGAAGACATTTCAATAAATCCAGGGTATAAAACAAAAATGAGAGGAAATGTGATAGTTTAATGCTTTATACATGAGACCCATTATCTTTTTATTTTTTCACGACTGGTTTGAAACTGAGTTTTAATAGTGTTTTCAGTTCTTTTGGCTTTTTGAAGATTGCATGTAAATGTTAAAATGGTCAATATCAGGAAACACAGAGTATAAATGCAGAAAACCTTCTAAAAGATTTGTAAAAAAAGAAGAAAAGACAGGATTTAAGCTCCACATGTATTCATCCTTAAAGAAGGCTGCAGCTGAGGAGAAGACGTGAGACAGCATGCAGGATGGCACTGAGTGAATATGGGATGCTTTTATCACAGAGAGCTGAGAGCCCATGATGGAAAACACTATAAATTTTGCAAAACAGAAAAACCTCAACTGAGCCATCGCAGCATTTCATGCTCCAGAGGCTGGGGCAGGTTCATTTTATCTGCATGAGGACCATTTAAAAAACCTACAAAACAGAAATCCCAGACTGTGAAATGAAAATATTAAGAGTGACATTTTATGAAATATTTCCACGAAGAATAACAAATAATTATTTTTTTATTTTAGTATTAAATCCAAATATGAATGAATGAATAATGTGCATGCTTGCAATGCATACTTTTTCTTCAACATTGTTCTATTTTAACACTTAAAATCTTAATTGGATTGATGGAAATTTGCTGAAAAGGTTTTTCTAAATAAGAGCAAAAATCTGTTTAAACGCCTGCAGACAATACGTTCACATCCAACCTGCAAGTACAGACATTTCCTGAAAATACATTTAAGCATATAAAAGTACTTCTTACCTGCCCATTCTTCATCGACCGCTCTTGATTGTATCCATCACATGGGTTTTCCCAACAGGCCTCCCATCCATGGTCCTAAATGTGATTATATATATAAATATCTAGAGGCAAGGCTCTCCTCTCACCGCCAAAAGTAAATCCTTTATCATCTCAGACAGCTGCGTGCACTCAGAACAGAACAAAAACAATGGTTAAAGAAGAAGAACGGAAATGAAATCTCTTCAGGGTGAAGTGTCACGAGAAAAGTGGAGGAAAAAGCAAAACATTACAGCAGTGAGATTCTAGAAATCACCACCAAATCCCTTAAAAGCTCCCTCTCTCTCTGTCTGTCTTTTTCCTCTGTGTGCATCTCTGTCCAGGCACTCCCCCCTCTCCCTCTCTCGCTCCCCCTCTCTGCTGAACTCTCTCCTTGCTCGATCTCTCGGTGCACTAATGGCCACAGATTGGGATTATCATGTAGGCGTCTGTGAAGAAAGCACTAGGTGGATGACTAGCCCGCTCCTTCTTTTTTTTTTCATGCAGCTGAACCAAATGCACGAGCCCCCACCCCCCCTCACTTTGAGAGATTAGATGAGCAGCTATTTGATTCACGTGTACACACACACTCAGTCCACACACACTCTCTCCCCACACACACACACACACACACTCACAGGCCACACACACTCTCTCCCCACACACACACACACACACACTCACAGTTCACACACACAAATAAACACACACACAAACAAACACACACACACACACACACACACACACACACACACACACACACACACACACACACACACACACACACACACACACACACACACACACACACACACACACACACACACACACACACACACACACACACACACACACACACACACACACACACACACCTGTCAACAGTGGCACAGTGGTGGAGCATATCAGAGCGGTAAATAGGTCTGTGCCCCACAGAATGCATTCGGATTAGATTTATTATTGATTTTATTTGGGACCCTGGGAAAAGAAGCCCCCCCCCCAGCTCTGTATCAGTTTGCAGCCGTCAAGTAGATGCTTGAACGTAGCATCACTACTGCCGCCTGCTGTACTAATGTAGACAGAGTGCATTAAATATGAAATGTATCATGTGGTGATAAGAAAATAAAGCACGCAACACAAATTCCTTCACATGTTATGTTTAATTTCACGACGTCTAGAAGAACAGACTGAGGGAAACCAAGAGGTTCACAAGCACCTGTGGAAAAGCTTTTGGGTTAAACTCTACCCTAAGAAGACAGACTTCTCCAGGCCATCCTCCACTTTGGTGTACTCCAGGTGAGATTTGAAGTATTGGCTCTCGTAGCGCGGGCTGCTCCGCACAAACTCCAGATACTCAGGCGCTCCGGGGCAGATGACGTTGTCCGCCAGCAGGACGCTGCCCTTCCTAAGGAGGCCACACTCCTGATGGAAAAAAAAGCATCATTTATGGCATCATGGCGGAAAAAATAAAATAGTTTTCTCAGTTAAAAAAAACAGCACTTGCCTCCATCAGTTTTGTGTCTGGGAGGTAACGATCTTTCCAGTGATCCAGGAACACCAAATCAAACGTTTCCACCCCAAACTGCTCCTTCATTTTGGGGATTAAGTCTCCAGAGGCTCCTTCGACTAACTGGATCTAGAAACAAGAAACCAGTGGTGGAAGACGTGCACAGACACATTTCTTAATATGTCAAAGTAAACAACTTTAAAGGGCCTGCTAGGCTTATTTTCAGGTTTCATATTTGTATTTTGTGCCTTTACATGTTTATATGCTTTAATGTTTAAAGAGTGCATTTTTCTCATACTGCCTGTCCGTGCACCCCAGAGCGTCCGCAGTATGCCCCATGTAAAAGTAATAATACCACCATGTAGAAACACTCAGTTCTACGTAAAAGTTTGTATTTCATTTGTTACTTTAGTCAAATGATGAGCATCAGAATCTCTTTATTGTCATCATGCTTAGAGATTTTGTTAGGTTTCATTTCTTTTGATATTGCCAGATCCTACTTCATTAGACAATTTATTTTTGTATATAATGAGAGGCTGAAAAGTAACTATTACCTTATCTTGTCAAATAAATACATTGCGTAACAGCACACTGGACTGTACACATTAACGACTGCTTCTGACACGTTGTGCGACTCTACCTTGTCCTCCAGTCCCGCCCAGGCGAAGACTTGTCGAGCGATCACAGCGAATTCGGGGTTAAATTCAAGAGTGATGAGTTTGGCGTGGGGGGGCAGCAGGCTGGCGATGCGCACCGTGGAGTATCCGCAGTACGTTCCCAGCTCCAACACTGTGGCCGGGTTCACCTCAGACACAACTGAGTCCAGGATGCAGCCTGTGGCAATACAGAGACACAAAGAAGATTTGATTAAACACATCTGATTCATGTAAGGTCATTTCAAACAAACGGCCTAAATCGTGCACGTCCGCCGAAACACTTCCTATTTTTAAATCCCGACTAAAAATGCACCTATTTGCCGCTGCTTTTAATTGAGCTGCCCATACTCACACTACAGTATGCCTTTTTAGTCAGGTATACTGTACCTACCTGTTTATTTATTTTATTAATTTCATTACCTTTGCTTTTTATGCCTGTTTTTAAATGCCTTTTTAATAATATATTTATGCTGTATTTGTTCTTAAATGTCTTTTGCTTTTAATCTGTAAAGCACTTTGAATCGCCACGTGCTGAAAAGTGCTATTTAAATCAAATTGCCTTGCCTTGCCTAAAAGATGATGATGAGGAGCAGAGGTGGACGAAGTACTCAGATCTTTTGTAACAGTAGAAATACCAGAGTGTAGGAATACTCTGTTACAAGTAGAAGTCCTGCAATCAAAATGTTACTCAAGTAAAAGTATAAAAGCATTGGCATCAAAATATACTTGAAGTAACCGAAAGTCCTCATTATGCAGATTGCTCTATTTCAGAATTGTATGTATCAATAAAGTGTTATCACAGCTGGTAAAGGTGCAGCTAGTTGACTTTGTATACGTGCAGGGTAGCTTGTGAATTCACTCCAGGTGGAACTAAAGTCTGATTTAAGTGTTGATTATATTTCAAATCATTAATCCAAATCTGCAAAGTAACTAAAGATATTCAAATGTAGTGAAGTAAAAGCACACTATTTTCCCTTAGAGTAGAAGTACAAAGCAGCACAAAATTGAAATATTCAAGTAAAGTACAAGTACCTCAACATTGTACTTAAGTAAAGTACTTGAGTGAATCCACTTAGTGACTTTAGACCAATGATGAGGAGACTGTACCTTTCTCATCCCCCACATTCATGGCCCACTCCTGGTTCCTGCAGTACTGATCGATGGCTCTCACCACGCTGCGAGGGTCCCCTCTGGTGGCGTTCCTCTGTACTGCACCCAGGATCCTCTGAACAAAAAAGACCATACTTTAAAAAATGTCTTTAAAGTCAGCAACAACACAACATTGAATATTCATGCACACATATTTTCTCAGATGAAAATAAAGCAGGGATTACATATAACTTTATTATGTTGATTTATTTCAACTACATACTTAACTGTAAGTACAATGTTGATTGTACTATATCAGGGTATATGCAGGAATCCTGAAGTCAAATTTAATACCTTTTAAGACCTTTTTTAAGACCCTTTCCATACATTTTAAGACCTCATCTGCACTTTGAGTTCTAACCGGTTACATTGACGACACACTTTACCTCACATTTACAATTGATTGTCCTTCCTCCTTATCTTCCAACCATTTGGACGCAGACTTGCATTTCCCCATAACGATGTTGTTTAACAACCGGCGACACTACACACCTACGCAATGAT